TGATCTTAAGGCCTTTCCAACCCAAACCACCCTATGACTCTATGATGACCTATTTTTCCTTTCAGAAAGTATGGTCTTTCTGGTCCAGAAGATTCCTACTTCACTAAACTCTAAATAAATCTGCAATACACTTAAAGTCCATGGCTTCTATTTTAAATCTGAGAAAGGCCATACAGACCCGAACACCATGTCCCATACTATGCCAATTAGTCTAATAAAAAGTATTACCACTACCCACAAATTTTGCCCTGCCAAGAGACTGTTAAAAATATCAGAATATGAAGAAGAAAACAGAACACTTCACTATACACTGTACGAATAAGTAGTTTTGGCTTTATCAGTTCCAAAAGAAAGCAAACTGAAGCAAAGAGCTCAGCTGGTGATACTGCAGAGGATTCTTTTTTAAGATTAAAAGTAAGAGCACACACCACCAAGAGCATCCTTCAAAAGGAAAGTCAACTCAATTTTCTTGCACTCGTAACTCAAATATGCAAACTGGAGCACAAACTGCTTTTGAAATACATTAAAAAAAAGACTCAAACCCACAAAAAAACCCCACCACACAAGGCTCTTTAAAAAGAAAATGAGGATTTTCAAAGGAACAGCGCTTACACCATCATGGTGTGCATGTTAATGTGCAAACACACAAATGTTGGCAGAAGAACAGAGGTCTCAGAGATGCTGAGTTCTTATAAGCCTCCTGTAAAGAAACAGAGGAAATAAATCTATTGCAGCTTCCATGAAGAAAAAGTCTCCAGAGGGATCCCCACTGTATTGCTGGGTACTAAAGAGTCCACATGGGGCTTTGGTGTCTAACAAGCTGTAAACAAGAAAAGGCTTCATTAGTTCTGCTCCTTACAGAACTACTAGATGTGCTTTTTAATGCATTATTAATTCATTGAACTCATTGCCAAAAGATAGAAGCAAAGGACTTAATTCCAAAAAAATTAATTCATGGAGAAAGCTTGCAACCTTTAGGTTTGAGAAGCTAAGGGATACAAATTAAAGCCTAATTTTTAGGACAGTAAGATAATTACAGGAGGTAAAGAAACAACCTTCCGTATGGACATGCTGTTCCACAGCACATGGTACCAACATCAGAAAACAAAGAATTTTGCAATATTCAAACTCTAATCCCAGAATTACACTGCAAAAAGTAACTTACATATGTCTCAGTAATCCTCTGACGTGACGTGAACCAACACCTGCTCAGGCAAGCCCTCTCCCGTAGGGAGATGTAGGATTCAAGTGTGACTGCAAGCTTTAAGACCTCATCACTGAACTAGGGCTCATTTTCCACCCAGGATTCATAAGAACTCAAATATTAAAAAATTGTGATAAATTGAAGCTATCACATATTAGGTCACTGATGTATCTTCATTCTGACCATAATCTCCTTTTCTCTTTCTAGTCCTTGTGAACATTTGGAGTCTGGGTTGTACCCTAGCTAGTTATTAGGGTTTTTTTTCATAGTGTTTAGTTCTGGAGAGGCCACAGCTTTTAAGATTAAATTTTCTATTGTAACTAGTTCCTGCCTCAGCTTGTGCAACCAGCGCAAAGTACTCAAGCAATCCCCATCAAGTCACTCACTGAGCACTTGGGGTTTCAGATTGTGTGTGGACCATGAGAAGCTGGATCCTCCGATAAATCCAACGCGCTCATGCTTTCTGCTGCTTGAGAGGCACTGGCTTCAAGCACAGTTTGATGGATGTTCTGGCTTCATTCACACTGGTATGACTCAAGTTCTCTTTAGATGAACCCAGATTTACTGCATGGAATAATGCCAATGAAGCACGAAAGTAAAGTCTGAAAGTTTCAATTACTCTGTTTTATCCCACCTAAAAATAAAGGCTGTATGTGTTGGAAGACATCTCCTCCCAAAGGAATGTATTAGAATAATGAAGAATTTCATTACTTTTTGCTCTTCCTTTTTCTTTCTCTGATGAGCTCCTGATCATCTCCCTCATTGCTTCTATATAACAGCACATTGTGGTAGATGAGAGTTTTTAAAGCAGGATTACCACTTTGGAAACTGTTCTCTTAGCTAGCATTTTCTAGCCCATTTCCCTCCAAAAAGATCACTTTTACATTGTGTTTGAGACAGACAAGTCACCAATAAGACTGAGTCATTCAGAAACAGCATAATATAAACTGCTCCACCCCTACCATATTACTTTTACTGGTGAAGCAGGAAATGGTTTTTCATTCTACTAACTTTATTTTGCAAACATAATAAAAAGATTGCTCTCAAAATAATGCAGTGCAAAAAAAGTTCAAGCAAGACCAAGTCCAAATCCCTGAAAACAAGAAAGAAAAGTGTTTTCCCTATGTAACACGTATTAAATGCTCAGTATTTACATTCCAGATCCAAGAGCATTCCACTTCTCCCCCTCACTTGGAATATTTGAAATAAAATACAGCAAACAAACAAAACCTAAGCCAGCATGCACATATTTTTATTTCTGGATAAATACTAAGAATTCAATGAGAAATCTGGAACAGTAAGTAGGTATTGCCCTTGGCTGAACATTTCTATTTGTTTTGAGTTAATTCATAGGGAGGTCAAACCAATGGAGAATTAGATTTACACTGGAGGAGCAACACTCCTTGCATAATGTGTATGAGTTGCAAATCAAGTGATAATGTTCAAAACTGCCACACAGAGTCAGGAAAGTTTCACACAATGTTTGGGAAAAAAACAGAAATAGTCCAATCTCTGGCAGAGCCACCATATGGAGTTTACTGCAGTAACATACGTTTTGGCCACTCAGCATAGCTCTGCTGCCAACAATGATAGACTGAACTACTTCTTTACAAGATACATCCCTATACCCAAACAGTAAATCCTAGCTAGAGAGGCTCAGACAGTTCAACTCAATCTTTATAGTAATAAAAGGAACAAAAGAAAAACCTCACACTTCAACACACACTTCAGCATCAACAATGGTAAAAAAAAAGATGCAATAAAAGTACAAACTCCTAGCAGGTGGCATGGAATGCAAAATGACACTCAAGCCTATTTAGACAGAGATGGGCTTATCTGTACAAAATCTCTTGCTACATTATGAGCCATGGAGTCAGTGTGGTCAAAAACACAAACAGGCAGATAACTGGGAGATCCTTCAACCTCCTTTACACTCACAAATTATTGTATGCCTAACTTATTGCAGTATAAATAGAACATGTGAAAGCAGAGGCAAGTCAATCTCCAAATGAAGGCTCTTAACTTTAGTGACAGGACAAGGGGCAATGGCTTCAAAACTTAGAGGAGATTTAGGTTAGATACCAGGAAGTTCTTCCCTGTGAGAGTGGTGAAGCACTGTAACAGGCTGTCCAGAGAAGCTGTGGCTGCTCAGTTCCTGACCTTGTTCAAGGCCAGATTGGACAGGGCTTGGAGCAACCTGGTCTACTGTGAGGCATCCCTGCCTATGGCAGGGGGGTGGAAAGGGATGATCTTCAGGTCCTTTCCAACCCAAACCGTTCCATGATTGTATGACTGCCATGCCCCTAGCACAAATGTTAGCTACCCCACACTCTTTTCCACATCAGAACACACAAACAAGTTGCAGGTGAACAGCTTTTCTACAGTAAGGATGTAACTTTGCTTGCCTCATTGAATCAAGTGCTCACAGTTTATGACAGTCTAAAGCCAGGTGAGAGCTGATGGATCTAGCTGCTGTAGTTCACCAGTCTGCCCCTGCTGCCCATTTAGCTTTAGTATCTCAGTGACATTTTTTAACTTTAAAGTTCTTTGAAAGGGGATGTCAGGCTGTAGCTGCTTACCCTTCCACTGTAAATCCAGCCCCCGCTGCCTACTGCATGTTTCAAAACACAGATACCTCTGAAATCCAGTCCTATAGACCAAATGCAAAACATTACAGTCAGTGCACAGACTGACAGTGACTACAGTACATTCTGGATTAGACTCTATGGCTACGTTCTTTTACCCTCTTTGTATTTTCTTCTCTCAAATTATTTGCCTTTCAGTTGAACTGAAGACTGTCAAATTGTACCTCAAGCTATCAGTTCAGCACCTTAAAGAGCGTAAGTGTTCAGACCAGAAGACACTGGCAAAATCAGCAGAATAAAACGCATTAGAAAGGCCATCAATTTGCTGAGCCCACTATTGACTTTCCCTGAGTCCAAGATTAAATTTGGAAGGCTTAACTGATTTCTCCATCTGCCATTCTTACCTATATTTCTCATTTAAGAATAATGGCTAAATCTACAGGATTTTACTTGCAAAGAAAGAATCAACACTGGTAGATTATTCTTATGAGTACATGCTATTGTTTGTGTATGTAACACCTACAGTCTGGAGTGCACCCACCAATGACATAGTACCACTAATCAAGAGCAGCAATGCACAAGACTGCAATCAGTCAAGGCTCCAGTGTGGATTATCTCACGCAGCCACAGGGCTTTTGTTTCCTTTGGCTTCTTACACCTATCAATGGTCTGTAGAGCACAGGAGCTGCTATCTGGAACAATAGCTACTATCACAAACACACCCTAATTCCAAAAGGTGCCTTTCAAGGCCTCATGGTATTTAAGAGAGAAAAGAAAGAACATCTGTTACTGCAACCTAGTAATGATTATGTTATCTACACACAAAGACCAAAACCTAAACCATTGTACATAATTACATCTCCAAAACAGAATTTATAGTGCCATCTTTCTTATAGTTTGTTTTGGGCATTTGGGGGGTGTAGGGCTAAACATTAAATATAGGAATCTTACTATAAAATAGGAATTTGGGCTTTATTAACATTTGTAGACAAACCAAGACAAAGAAAGTTTAAAAAAAAAATAAACCATTCTGGATGTAAAAATCTTAATATCAAATTTTTTTTACAAAATACAGAAAGGAGCTGAAGTACACATTTAACATAAATACACAGAAAGGTTAAGGTATTTGTATGTTGATGCAGCTCTCCACAAGAAGAAAAAACAAACAAACAAAAAAACCCCAGTAATAGAAGTCATTGAGTATTCCTTACCTTGGAACCTGCCAACATAGTTCCCAGCATTTTTGTTCCTTTTCCAATACCAATCACTGCAAAGACAGAAGAACAAATGCCATTTCAAAACCAGCTCTGCAGTTCCCTTATTGCACACAATTCACTACTAAATATTATGCTACTCAGAAATATAGCCTTTCACGGTCTCTTAGCATATAAAGGGAGTCATAGAATCACAGAATTCTTTGGGTTGGAAAGGACCTCAACATCATCTAGTTTCAACCCCCCTGCCATGGGCAGGGACACCTCACACTAAACCATGTCACCAAAGGCTCTGCCCAACTTGGCCTTGAACACTGCCAGGGATGGAGCATTCACCATTTCTTTGGGCAACGTGTGCCAGTACTTCACCACCCTCACAGTAAAAAACTTCTTCCCTACATCTAACATGAGCTTCCCCTGTTTCAGTTTAAACCCATTACCCCTCAGCCTGTCGCTACAGTCCCAGATGAATATTTCCTCTCCAGCATCCTTGTAGGACCCCTTCAGATACTGGAAGGCTGCACTCAACAGAAAGCATCCCTGATGGTCAAACATAGGAGTAGCGAGAGGAAAAGTCTAAAGCAGAACATAAATAAGCTTCACCTATTCTTAAAATGCTTTAATTAAACCCATTTATTTATCTTTTAATCACCAAATAAATGGATAGTGCAATTAACATCATCCTGGTTTGATGAAGGCTGTGGCTCACTAATAATGAATCCAGCCTTCACTGTAACTAAATGGCCCATTTAAAGGTTGATAGTGACCAAGAGTAATACAGCAAGACAGCATAATGAAATTGTTTATCAGGCTTAGAGCAAGAAAATAAAATAATCAAAAGGTCCAACTGCCTCTCAAAGATCCTTCATAATCAAACCTTCCCATTACTGTGTATACAGACCACTGTCTTTTCAACCTTAAACCAGTACTCTGCAAAACAGCAGTCAGCTCTTCATAAGACAGTAAAAGAGCTTTTATATTTTACCTTAAAGTTTTTAACAAGGTGCTTTCCCTGAAGCTGCTTTCCTATTGACTTTCTCCACATACAGCAAACCAAAGAAACAATGAAAATTTTAAAGGAAAGCAGGTTGTGTACAACTCATGGAATACATAACTGCTTATGCCCTTGGTTTTAATAAAATCACAGGAGTTAAGGGAGCTTGCAGGAAATCAGCTCTATGTTAAGCTGGAGTCAGCACCAGAAACATTAAGCTGACAATGAATCTTTCTTTAAAAACTAAACAAATATTTGTGCTCTAATGCATCTCAATCTTTACACTCTGAGACTCATTAGATGACTTCTCATTCTTGATTACTTCTCATCTTGCTCCTGAGGGTATTTAGTCACACATGCCCTTGTGCTCATGAACCTTCAGTTCAGCCTGTTCCTGTCATTTGCAAGACAGGAAAGAGCTGCAACAAGGCTGAGAAAAGGAGATAGCACACAGATAAAATTTTATAACCAAACACTGTTCTTGCAACATGATGAAATCACCGACACTTCTACATGACTGCTGAGCTGAAATTTGCTGAGGAGTGTCAAGAGATTCAATAGAATCATTTTAAAGAGACACTGAATGCTTTTGTGAACAAGACACAATTTTCCCCCATTAATCATCAGCTTGTGTGACGTGTATTATTGAAAGGTGGCATAAACTAAACTTGCCAGACTACACAGAGCCTAACAAAGTTTAACTGACTTTTTAGTTTTGGTACTTCTTCATCTTTTCTTCTCCTGTGGAAGCACAATTCATAACTGCCCTACAGCAACAAGCTAAATATTTACAATTCCCACTGTACAATAAGAAACAGTGAACTGGAACCCCAACCATGGACTAACGTTAAGATATTCATTAAGACTTGACCTACAGTTCCTTGCTTCTTGTATCTTAAAATATGAGACCTAATGTTGAGAAGTAGAAGTTGAATCCTAGCTCCGACCACCTTCCAAATGCAACAGAAGCCACAGATGGGGACAGACAAAAGATTATCCCTCAGTCAGCAGTCATTTCAGGCTCCCACCAGTGTGAGGCCACCAATACCACCTGGTCTCTATGCTGCCTTTCACTCACATGCCATTCATCACCAACCTCTGTCTTCAAGGTCCTTCCTCATTTGCACTTGCTGGCAGTAAAAAAAATATGAAAGTCTATTTTCAGATGAAAAGCACAGCTCAGTTAGTTGCAGTACATCTGGCATGCTAAGCAAGACTCTCTATCAACTAATTCACTAGTTCCAATGAACAAAGTTATAGATATCCAGTACATAAAATCTGGCAAACAGCCATTTTAGATCAAGAAAGGTTAGAGGTTTCAAAAAATAAATACTAGTGTACAACTGACCATGAGGAAAGAAAACTTTCTGCCTCACCACCCTATCCATCCCTACCTGAGTAGCTTGCTTCTGCTGTGTTCTCCACTCTCCTCAATATCTTACTCAAACCCACAAGAAATTTGGGCCCATTCCCTTTCCCACTCCTCTCCAGTTTTGTCCCTTCCAATCCAGCTACCACTAATTTTCCTGTGTGTGTTTTGTATGGCATTGGAATGATCAATCCATAGCATATTAAGGTGATGCACTTCTGTCTTTACGAAGCACATCAAGCCCAAGTCTTTTTGTCATGCCACAGGAGCGGGCTTTGAAGACTGCTGGGTATCAGAGAGCAGTAGGAGCAATTAAGAGGCATGAGTGATTTTTCTTTTTCTCTGGATCAATGCTGTTGACTTCCCACAATGAGCAGTAACATGCTCAAAGGGAACATCTGTGTAGAAGGAAAATGTCCACTTCAGCAGTACACAGGGTATTCTCCAGTGAGCAGCCACACATTACAGGAAATTGAAACAAAATGAGATAGTAAGTACTTCTAGCCTAAGAATGTTACATTTTGCAATGCTCACAGGTGACAGAGAAAATTACCAGCCTATAGGCCTCTACTAGCAACACCCTTCATGCAAACAACCTCCCCTTGAAGCACAGCTCTTTCCGAAAAATCAAAAAGTGGATTTACTTTCAGTATATACTCACAGTTGTACCTGTTGCCTTTCAATACCAAAGAAGTATAGCTGTTATTTCTTCTAGCTAAGTAGAACTACAAGGTTACAAGTTAAGCAAGGTGTAGTTTGCCTGTTACTTAGAACTGTTAGTGACAAAATGTGATATGGGAATAACCCAGCCCAGTGGTCACAGCCACAGCCGAGTTTTCAATACCAGCAATTGGCACATCTTGTTCCTTAGTAAAACAAAGGAATTTGATAAAAGGATTGACTGATTGCTATCAAAATTAAAAGATGAAATCTCTCTGATGACTCTTCTTTATGAAGCAAGACAGGACAGGAAGCAAAAAAGTCTGTGCTGAGCCTTAAAAAAGCAGCAGCTGAATTGCCCTTATACATCTTTCATTTGGTGACTATTACAACTCAAAAGGCTCCCTCAAAATCCCAGAAAAGCATTAGTTTAAGAACAAATACTTTAGGAAATGATGCTATTAATCCCCAGCTTAAGTAAAAAAAAGCCATCGATTTCTGAGGTAATTCAGAATTCATTACACAAGAGTCTTTATGTTCATGTAATAACTCACAGGTTATTTCAGGAGTTGGGGGTAGGGAACATAGCCTTCTGTTAAAAAAAAACCCAAACATGTAAAAGTATATGCAGAAGAAATTTAACCCAGACCACAACCACCTGTGCTTCCCCCAACACCAGAAAGCCTGCCATGCTTATCTCAAATTGTTCCTCCACCTCTGATTTCATGTAGGCATGAAAATGTTCCCCAAAATCACCTTTTGATGACTGCATTTATATTTTACATTACCTAGAACTCCTTCAGCTGCACTGTCCAAAGTTCCACCATGTCCAATTTTCAAAACCTGATTTTTTTTGCTCCTATTTGTTTGCATGCCAGCTTCTGCAAAGAGAAATTGAAAGGAAACAATATAGGATAACCTTATAACATAAGAAAAATAGCACACATTTCCAGTTTGCTAAAGATCAATTATTTAAACTATGAATTAGTAGTGCAGAAATTGCTGTCCTGAATAAGACCAGTGATTCATCTAGATCTACTCCCAACCTCAAACAATTTGCAAGCTATATTCACCTAGATTCTAATCAAGTCTTATGTACTGTTATAAATGAATGTTCAGAAAATGCCACTAGAAAACCCAGTGGATAGTTCACCTGTGGCGGATAGTTCACCTGTGAAGTTTCACTAACAAAGCACGCAAGAACTAGCAGCAGAGCTCCTGAAATCATCTCATATATACAAACTGAATGCTACCTAATCTGAGCAATTCCTACTGTATTTACTTTCACGTAATGGGTCATTTTTATTAGCATGTACATATGGAAACCCTGCAATGAACTTGCTCAGTGCTGCTTTCAAGCTGTCACAGCACCTCAACCCGCCATACTTCCTATGCAGCTGATGACTCCAGGAACTTTGCAGAGTTCAAGGCCCCCTATTTATTATTGTTATTAAATATGACAAATGCTCTAAACTCCCTTACCTACTTTATTAATTATCCCTCCATTATGCCTTTCACATCAGGGAATCAAACATGATCCAGCTAAAACTCTTCCAAGCAAAGCTTAAGTCCATGACTACACTACAGTTCACTACAGAGTAAATCAGCCTGAATAAGCACTTACCAATATGAAAGTTGGTTCTCACTTCATCACCAAGTGCCCAAAAGTCCAGATTAGATTATCAAGTCCACATATACTTTATAAAGAGAATCTAGGCCATAGTCCCTCAAACTTTACAATGATCACACTTTTTTTTTTTCCCCTAGTAACTGACAGCTGGAGTTACCCGTATTCACAAAAAGCAGTTTCTGCAGTGTCCTCAGGACTTCCAAACTCCTCAACACAATATGGTTTTCACTCTTTTGGTGGTATTTATTGTATTTTTTAATGGCAATAAGCAGTGGGACTGAAGCAGCACATCCAGCCAGGGCTGCGGTGAGCTGCTGACACCCATTCTGGCAGATGGGTGCACACTGTCCCGGGGAGTATGCCCAACAGCTCTCCAACCAACCTGGGACCCACTGCAGGCCTGGAGCTTTCTGCTAGTGCAAATCTTACCCCATTCAAATTGAAGGCTCACATCACGCTGTACCGCAGGCAATACCACATGCCTGCCCCAAGTAAGCAAGTGGTGAATATGGCTTTACAACCATCGTGCTGTGCAACCAACACACCGAGTCTCGCGGGCAACCACCGCTCCATGCAGTGAGCCAGAACGCACCCAGGAATGGCTCCGTCCCCCAGTCCGACCCATACCACGGCTCAGAAAGAGGGTGCAGCGGCTTGACAGGGGCTGGGGTTGTGGTCGGGACCCCCAGCCAAAGCGCTCGAGGACTAAACGCATGTTCACTGCAGGCCACCCTGCTCCTGCTCTGGGAGTACCACACCTCTCTGTTACGCCTGCCTCACTAACACCCCACCTCTCGTCTCCATGCCCACCTCGGGGAGTGTGTGCTGCCCCTCGCCTCCCCCGGCGCCTACCTGCCAGCAGCTTCTCCTTCAGGAGGTTGAGCACGCCGGCCGAGGTGGGCCCCTTGGGCTTGTACACGGCGAAGAGCCCGCTGAGGGAGAAGAGCTTCTCGGCCGCCTTGCCGAGCACCACGCCGCCAGCCTCCCTCGTAGCCATGCTCCGTCCCGGCAGGCCCGGGCACCGGCACGCCACAACCGCCCGCCTTCCTCCCCTCCCGAGGGCCGCTGGGAAATGTAGTCCGGGGGCGGGCCGGCTGTGAGGAGGGGCGGGTGCCCCAGCACAACCTACCGATGCCATATCCCCGTCCTGCTGGGAGTCTTGTAGGCATGTAAGCAAGCTGTGCTTGAGCAAGGCACCGAGAGCTTGGATGTTTTGTTCATACATTTCATTTATTTATTTGTAAGAGCCTGTAGATGAAAACGTGAAGAGACAGAGTGTTACAGGGAAATAAATGCACAGCTAGCAAAGAGCTATGTACATCCCCAGTTCTCCCCAGAGCTTGAGAAAAGCAAATCTTCCTGCTCAAGTTAATGCTGTCTCTGTACAGCACAGGTTCAAGGTCTCTGTGTGGTTTTTCAGCCTGTACTGAAGACAGCAGCCTGCTCAGTGCCTGCTTACACCTCCCACAGCAGCCGCATGGGACCAGAGCTTCCATTTGCAGGCTGACATTGATACCGGGAAATAAAGGGTTAACATTGTGCCTGCTTGCTCAAGCAGTCGCTGTGCTTGGTGAAGCAGAACCGTAGGAGTCAAAGTTACTAGAATGGTGAAGCAGAACTGCAGGAGCTACAGCTGCTAGGCAGAATTGTAGTAGATAAGATTCATAGCTTAATATTTAAGACATTCTTGTTAAAATCGTATCTTTAGAAAGAAAGCAACAAAAGATAGCCAGAGTAACAAAATTTGCAAACATAGAATCATAGAATAGTTAGGGTTGGAAAGGACCTTAAGATCATCCAGTTCCAACCTCCCTGCCATGGGCAGGGGCACCTTGCTCTAAACGGTATCACCCAAGGCCTTGTCCAACCTGGCCTTGAACACTGCCAGGGATGGAGCATTCACAACCTCCCTGGGCAACCCATTCCAGTGCCTCACCACCCTCACAGGAAAGAATTTCTTCCTTATATCCATTCTAAACTTGACAAGTTTCTACTTTAAGATACATAAAACCGGCTTGTACCGAACCTGGGGTTTGCATAGGAGCCGAAACCCTATTGAGTCTGCATGAAAGCAAGAGGTTACTCGTGGTGGTGAGGAGGAACTACAGGCCTTCATCCTCACGACCCCTTGACGACCACCACTAGGAGTCACTGCACAGGCACACCAGTGGGAAGAATGCCAGAAAACTAATTATAATACTAGACGGGAATAGGTTTTGCATGTGTATTAGGCATGAAGCAATCTCATGTTTAGGTAATCATTGTATGTAATAGAAACGAACTGAGTCGCAAAAGGGGGCGCACGTGCTTTTGGAGGCGCAATCCCCATGTGCCTCAGCGCTGAATAAAGCATACCTAATTTACAACTCTAACAAGTTGTGGGGTCTATCCGCATATCACCATCACTGCATCCGTGAGATAGGCAAAGGCTGCCTGCCACTAGCAATGCCCAGCAGCCTCCCCTGAGCACCCGCTGTGAGTGTTATTAATCATAGAACCCCAGACTGGTTTGGGTTGGAAAGGACCTCAAAGCTCATCCAGTTCCAACCCCCTGCCACGGGCAGGGACACCTTTCACTAGAGCAGCTTGCTCCAAGCCCCTGTGTCCAACCTGGCCTTGAACACTGCCAGGGATGGGGCAGCCACAGCTTCTCTGGGCACCCTGTGCCAGTGCCTCAGCACCCTCACAGGGAAGAGCTTCGCATAATCTGCCACCTTATTTGCTTAGATCTCACCTGCATGGCTGTAATCTGGCTGTGGAAGGGTGCAACGGTGCAGCACTTGCTTCAAGGGTGGATTCACTGGTGAATGGTACAGGGGGCCTGTGTTTGCAGGACATGGAAGTGAGGTGTCAAAGTCCTTCTCCAGAAGCCTCACTTAGATAAAAGGTCTGTGAGAAAATTGCTGCTGATTTACATGGAGTTAAAGTCCAGCAGAGTTGTGGAAGGCATGTTGTGTACCAGTCATAGAATCATAGAATAGTTAGGGTTGGAAATGGCCTTAAGATCATCCAGTTCCAACCCCCCTGCCATGGGCAGGGACACCTCCCACTATACCATGTCACCCAAGGCTCTGTCCAACCCAGCCTAGAACACTGCCAGGGATGGAGCATTCACAACCTCCCTGGGCAACCCATTCCAGTGCCTCACCACCCTAACAGGAAAGAACTTCTTCCCTATATCCAATCTAAACTTCTCCTGTTTTTTGAACCCATTACCCCTTGTCCTATCACTACAGTCCCTAATGAAGAGTCCATCCCCAGCATCCCTATATGCCCCCTTCAGATACTGGAAGACTGCTAAGAGGTCTCCACACAGCCTTCTCTTCTCCAGGCTGAACAGTCCCAACTTTCTCAGCCTATCTTCATATCCCCTGATCTCCAGTCCTATCTCCAGTACCCTGATCATCCTCGTGGCCTCCTCTGGACTTGTTCCAAGAGTTCCAAGTCCTTTTTATGTTGAGGACAGCAGAACTGCACACAATACTCCAAGTGAGGTCTCAAGAGAGCAGAGCAGAGGGGCAGAACCATGATGGAGTTTGTGCTGCAGACATGATTTAGTCAGGCTAATGGTTTTGAAAACCATTCTTACCAGTTCACTACTAAAAAGAGATTAAATGCAGATTGCTGTGTAAGCAGGCTAAAGCAAAACTATTTAAACATGGCTATTAATGGTGTTAGTAACCTTCCATGCAAGGAGATTGAAGCCCGAGCCCTGAAATGCAAACCTGTCACACCGTCATGGGCAGCAGCATCGTTGGGTCAGCAGACTTCTGAAAACATCGTGGCGGATCAGAGGGAGATTATGCAGAAATGAGAGCTCCACTCTTGGCATAAAGACATCCTTCATGCAATGAGGACCTCAGCTCTCCAGTAATGCAGTAGCAGATGGGGCCTGTGAAAAAAATCCCTGTGCTGCCTTCTCAGGACTGACCTAAACAGGGAATTGTTTAAAATGCTGTAATTAACCTCACATAGTCATTGTGCATGAGCTGAAGGCCAGTGTCTGATCCCCAGTACTCTGTTTCCACAAATTGCAAAAAGCTTTTTTATACTTTTCTTTTTCTTTGTTTCTTTTTCTCTCTTTTTTTATTAGGACAGGGTTTCAGGTGTCTAACAAAACTACTCACTACTCTCATATTTAGTATTGAGTAGGAAGTCCTTATAGGTCTTCCAAACTTCTACATCAGCAATTAAACCACAACACTTTGTTATTGCAGCAGATGGAGTCTTTGAAGGCTTGGAAAGGAGATGTTTGCTTTGACTTCAGTGGGCATTGGATAAGGGCCAAAAACAAGAATTGTGAAAAGCTATTAATGACTGTCGGTATTTTAGCTAGCTGGAAGTTTATGTGTACATAAATCACACATAGCTCTCTTCATGGGGCAAGGTTATTCAGCATTCAAAATGGTGGGGATGATATACCAAACTGTTCATCTCAAGGGCTTTATTTCAGATTTGCTTTATTTCAGATTTGCCTCGTGTTGCTTGTGATTAAAAGTCATTACCATCTGCTCAGTAGCCTATTTGAAATGAGATGTTTATCTCCCAACAATTCCTAGCCAAGCCAGCATCCACAACAACCAAAAGCATGATTAGAGTTACTGACTTTATTTGCAACCTTAATAAAGAGGCTCAGGAAGTGGCTGAAAGGATGATGTTGCTTTATGCATGGAACATGACGGGTCTAGTAGAGGCAGGACAAATCCTCCACTTGGGTCACTGGAATCATCCAAAGCAATGCCTTGTGAATCTGGTGTAATTATGCTTTATAGAGAAGAGATAATGGGTAGTAGCTGTTGTACATGCAAACAGCAGATGAGGTCTGTTGCAAAAGAGGAGAAAACTTGCTTGTGCAGAACAGAGATGTAACATTTCCTTCTACCTTTCTCCAGAAAGATGGTCACTTCTTTGTGTGCTTTCAGGCTGATATAACGCTCACAGGCCACAGTTCAGAAGAAAATGATGCTGCATTACAGCTTTTAAAGTAGATTCAGTAGAAAAAGGCCATTTCTGTATTTCTTTTCCCTTTATGATTCCAGCTTTATCGACTGTATCCAAATCAGAGCAAATAATTGCAAGGAGGTCAATCATGGCTCATGTTCTTCCTGTTAAAAGCAAAGAGCTGCAGCTGTTTGGAAGTTTAGGTCATAGTCATGTAAACTGCTCCCTTGTCAGCTAGTGGAATTTCATCTGTAAAAGGAACTATCAAAGCCCTAAATACACAGATTTTTCCCCCCCTCTAACTGTTCCGTCTGTTTGGATGATCAAGAGTAGATAAATAACTCTTCAACTTGTTAGTTCATTCGGATAGGCACGAAGCACGTAATTCATCATGTGTGAGTGGTTCTTCTGAACAAAAGTAGCTTCTTCAGTATCTTGTTCAACAGCAGCAGTTTTGAGAAAAGAATGTCAGTTACTGTAAGCAAGGGAAAGATGTAACTACCTATGGCATACGCTCATCCTGGGATTAGCAATTTTTGGTAGTCATTTTCCCCAGGAGAAAAGGTTCCTAAACTGCAGGTATTTCATGAGCAGATTTTTGCATTTTGATCAAACAAGATTGGTATTTAAGGTTTACACCAACTCAGATTTTACGTCTAGGCTTTGTTTAATTTTAGGAATATTTTCTTTAGAATTTTATCCTGGCTTCTCTGTTATTAGAGGGATTATTTTGAATTAGGAGTAGTTTAGACAAGAAGAGGTTTTGGTTAAGGTTTCATAGTTTCAATTTGAGTAGAACCGGACAAAATACAATAGGATCCAAATGTTTTTAGCTATTCCTTTTTTAAGTGAAATGCAGTTTTGGCAGTTAGCTAGATAAGAGAACAGCAATTTTTCCTGACCACTGGTAGGTCACAAATGATGTAGAGCTATGGAGAAATATGATACAGGTATGATTTCAATTGCTCCTTACGGACCTTTTCTGAACATGTTGCATTAGTAAGTGAAGACACATTATGGACTGAAAAGTTACTTTTAATCTCTGATACGTGCCTAGGTCTGTCTATAATGACAGAGGACTCATCATGGTGTGGAATCAGAAGATCAGTGAGGGGAATAAAAACAAAATACGTTT